AGTCATGATTTTCAAATATTAAGTCTAGAATGCATTCCTGCTACATCTAGCAACAAAGATTAGCACATATGTATTAGCAATGTGCAGTTTTGGAATTGCCCAGGCCACTGAGAGGTTATGACTTGCATAGAGTTACATAAGTAGTACGTGTCAGTGGGAGGATTTCTATCCACTACTATGTCAAGCTGCCTCCTTCTACTTCCATCCCTCTCCCTACAGGACACTTGGTAGTTGCTCAAACAAAAAAATCACAATGCCCAAGGTTTTGCAACATTTGTCTAGGAAGCTCAGTTAGAGATACAAAAACATAAAAGCTGTTTAAAGCAGTTACATTGTGACAAGCTTTGAAGGAAAACTTTTTTTCAAAACTCAATTGCAACATAAGAATTTTTTTTCCCTTTGATCAGGAAGTGAAATCTATTTTCCGTGTGAATAAATGAAAGTTCATTTTGTAAAAGATAACTTCCTGTACAATGTAACACAATTGTGTTTTCCATGTTCTATGACAGAAACTCTGAGGTAAAAAAAAAAAAGATAACAAAAAATTTTTTAATTTATTTTGGTTGGGGAATAGGAGGTGTGGTCATCAGATTAGAAAAGAATACAAACTAGGATAAGGAAGTTTCACAAAACAATGTCAACTGTCTACTGAATATCTATTACACTAACTAAGATCTTTAATCAATAATAAACAACATCAGCAGGTCATCCACATAATTCAACCATGGGCTAATTCAGCATGTTCTATGAGTTCATTTGAGATATCTGAAATTTGGTAAATATCTATCCATTGCTCAAAGTTCTCCACTACTGGGGGAAAGGGAGTTGGCAGGGTCAGGAAACCAGTGACTCTACTGTTCAATTGGTAGGGAATTCTCAGGATGGAGATTACCTCCACAAATGTAGATCAGCAACTTGTTTGATAATTGAGGTCTTCTTGAGCTGCCTGGGACAGTAAGAAAGGATTTGTACACAGTCACTCAACTAGCAAGTGTTAGCGAAAGGTCTTGAAAATCCAGGCCTTCTTGACTCCATGGCTTATCCTTTGTCTCCAACATTTTACTGCTTCTCTTACTCTAAGCTATTTTGTATCCCTTTATTAAGATAGAGAATCAGAAAGCAACCCACCCAGACTAAGTACTAGCTTAGTTACTCACTGAAATGCCTTTGAGCTACAACTTAATCATATATCCTAGGTAAGAGGCTAGATAAGAAGTGTCAATTTGAAGAACATTTTTCTATCTTTTGCAAAAGGTCTGGTTGACGATAACTACCCAGTGTCTATTACATGGGCACACACTTTCTTTCTCTCTCTCTGACTCCTAGAAACAATGCCCAGAAGAGGTTTATACCTCCTGACCAACAAATATTTGTTTCCTTCTTATCAGGTGTAAAGGACAATAGCACCATTTCTGACCCAGGCACCAAGAAATCAAAAGGCTAAATTAAATGCTCAACAGCAGGAACTACCTCATCTCAAGGACTTAATACATTTATTTCTTTACTCCTTTTAAACTACATTTTGTTCCATTTTTATTTTCATGGCCTTATTTTATATTTTAACTCTGGGCTACATCAAAGCATTTGTAGAAGATACGAATCAAAACTCAGGATGCCTAAATAATATAAACTATAAAGTTGTTATACAATGTTAAAAAATGTTTAACACCACAAAGGAAAACAACTTTGAAAGACTAAAGAAGTAGGATCAATGCAGTGACCAGTCATGATTCCAAGCAGATCTGAGTAAACATATTTGCCATCTCTTAATGGAAAGGTGATGGATTGAAGGTACAGAATGAGACCTACATTTTCAGTTTTGGCTAGTAAGATTCATTTTGTTTAACTATGCTTATCTGTCACAAGGGAGGGCTTTACAGGGAGAGAGAGAGAGAAGAGGAGGAGGAGAGGGGGAAAGGGCTAGTAATAATGATGACAAGAAAAAGAAAGAAAAAAAGCACCAATGAAATAGTTTGAAAATGCACAGAAAAGAGGAGGAAGTTCAGAGAGAGACAGACAGCAGGTCAGTTTTACAACTTGCTGTGAATTTGTTATATATTTAAATAAGCTGTACATAACAGATATGCTGTTCTGTGTATAACTCATTTTTTCCTTATATGCAAATGTTTATCATGTTCATAATAATAAAAAAGATTTTTTCAAAAAAGAACAAGGAATCTAAATTCCTTGAATTTAGAAGAACAATGAAGCTAAATAAAACAATTCTAATTTGAAGTTTTCATTTCATCATTTCTCTCTTAGGGCATTAGGCTTTACTTGACTTCAAAAAAATGAGTCACTATTACCTCTGAATTTAGTCAACTGAATGATTATGATTTTTTAGAATCATTCATATTTAAAATACTCATCATAATCAATATTAAAAGTGATTATTTCATATTCTATCATGTGAAACACTATAAATTTCATAAGTACATGCATACACACACAGAGTGCAGGAATATTATATACATATGCATGTCATACACACTTGTTCCTATACATTGGAATATGGTGCTAATGTAATTTTGACAATCAAAAGTGGATGAAAGTACTTTTAAAATTATTAATTTTTTTTAAAACCAGAAAATTCACTACAAAGACTATAACAAGACAGTCCTTGAACATGATCTAAATTGGAGTTAGAGCCATTTCATTGGGTACAAAGTTTTGGCAGAACATGCCAAAATAATTTATAAAAACTCAGGCAATAACAGTATCCAATCGTCTAGAGTGAATCATATTGGTTCAAACTGGGGTGATTAAATAAATAAGTAATAAAGGTGTTTTTTTTTCCCAAAGTGGAAAAAGAAAATGAAAGACAAAAGTAAGAAATATTTGAGCAGTTCTGGTTGTAACAAAAAAAAAGAAATAAGCAAAACAATGTATTTTATCATTCTCAAAATAAATGACAAGATCGTGTACTCAAGCATGCAAAAGGGGAAGGGAAGGGAAGGGCCAGAGCATTTCCACTGCACCAACTACATGCCCATGTATCAGGCACCATGCTAAATAAATACTTTTGCAGGTATTATCTCATGTGATCCTCATAACAATTTTGCGAGGTAAGCGCTTTCCCCATTTTACAGTTGAGTTCAGAAGCTAGGCTGTACAGAATGAAGACCAAAGGCCTAATCCCTCACTCTCAGAAGCAGAGGAATGGAAAGGTTCTCTTGCTATTTATGATTTCTTCCTCACTTTCTTCCTCCATGGAAATACAGCAGGAAGAACAATGGCAGCCAGATAAAATCCGACCCCTATTTTTAATCCCACTGACTTTCTGAGGAACCTGAAAATGACGAAGCATTTTTACGATGAGAGAGTGTAGCAGAAAGGAGGTAGGAAGTTCCAGAGTTAAGAGTGGCCACAGGGAGTAGCTAGTTAGAGATCAAAAAAACAAAAAAGGGGTCAAAGCAAAATTGTGATTGAAATAGCGGTCAAAGGGAATAAAAACTGTAATAGTTCTAAAAATGCATAACTTCGACATGTATGTATCTGTTTATACGCAGAAGGAAGAGATGTATATATATGAGACCACCAGGTGCCACAGATAGAGCCCTAGGCCTGGAGTAGGAAGACCTGGGTTCAAATCCAGTCTCAGACATTTACTTGCTGTGTGACCCTTGGCAACTCATTTAACTGCTGTTTGCCTCAGTTTCCTCAACTATAAAATGGGGATAATAACAGTATTTACCTCACAGGGCTGTTGTGAGATTCAGCTGAGATATTTGTAAAGTGCTTAACACAGTGCCTAGCACATAGCAGGTAGTAACTATAGAAATGCTTATTCCCTTCCCCATTGTTTCCCTCACCTGGGTGTGTGTGTGTGTGCGCGCGCGCACACATGCATGCGTATCTGCTATCCAAATGAAAGTCCCTGAGGATGACAGCCAAACATCCACACAGCAAATAGAGAATGAACTCTGGAGAGTCCCTGGCAAGAGTAACTCACTTCCCCAGTCTGGTCAACCGCCGCCCACACAAGATAGTTCTCTCTGATATAGTTGTTAATAGGCAATACTTCTAAAAACAGTATTTCTAATAATGGGCAATTTCATTACCATGTAATATCCCTTTTTTTCATTTCACAGACTGATGCACAGAACAAATGATATGAAAATAAGAAACTTTAGTCACTTAGCAATAAGAGATGGAAAAGACAAAAAAAGTAACCTTTTAACCATATTGCTTCAAATTCGATGGCCTTTTGAAAAGATCAGACATTTTATTTCAGATCTCCAGGAAGCTTAATGATGTATTATCTTTTGACACAGAAACCTTAAGAACAAACCCAAAGTCTCCTTCAATGATCCAGAAATTCTACCATATCATGCAAAACTCTTTCATGACTAAGGTTTTAAGAAGCATGACACCATACAGTCAGTATCAGTCAGCTCTACTACTTGCTAAATTTCCATCTTTCCACAAAGCAACTACTGTAAAGAGAACACTATGAAGGGTCATAATTAAAATGGCTCAGCTGATAGGCAAAACCTTCCTTAAAGCAGAAAAAAATCCAACACTATTGTATTTTATTCTCACATATTCAAATATAAAACCACTAGTTGCTAACTGTTAAGACTGAAGGGGATACCATCCAACACCTGCTGTGGCAACTTGATTTAATAATAGTACTTTGCCTAGCTTTGACAATTACTCTCACATTCCCCACGGAAAAACTGATGGTTTGCTAAAAATAAAATGGAGATTAGTATTTACCGGGAACAGCCTGAACAATCCACCATTTAATAGACAGTGAACTTAATCAGCACTATGGTGTATCAGTTGTGAAAATGCTGGCTTCAACAGCAGATAACCACACTGATCCTTTTCCAGTTAAAAAAAAAAAGAAGAAGAAGAAGAAAGAAATGAAATAAAAAGGGCTTTACATTTCTCTTTTTTTAGTGCCCCCAATAAGAAATCTTTAAACATTAAATTAAATGAGAATGCTTTTCATTGCAAATTAACTTATGGGAATTAGATTAAAATTCAGTACTTACTATGCTCTCATGGCACGACAGTCATGGAACTCTAGACAATAATAACCTTCTTACAAGTACATAATCTGTGGGAAAAGTTCAAGACATAGTATGTAAGAATTGTCATTAGAATGGTTAATAATCCAGACATAAATATACACTTTGATAGCCTTGCTTCCAAAAGTTTTCAACCTTCCTTTTTTCAAACTCAGAAGCATTTTAATAAATTTGGAAACAGAAAAGGTCCACAGTAGTAATATAGAACTCTGTGCACTTTCCAGTTACTATGCTTTTAAAAACTGCTTTTTATTCAGTTTTTAATATAGGAATATAAAATTAATTGATGTTGCTGCTAAAAATTTATGCCAAGTGGGAGAAAATTCTCAAGAGCTTCTCTAAAGAGACTTCTTCAAGCTGTTTATAAAGTAGCACATTCAACATAATACAACTTAAAACCAGACAAATGAGCTCCAGTTCCCCAGCACTATCATGAGGCCAAAAAAAAAAAAAAGCATCTATTTCAAATATTTGCCACTACCTAACTTTCTACAGCAGTTCTCAAAATTTAGTATAGTGCAGAATGCTGTCAATAAATAACCAGTAGTGCTAGAAATTCTGGCATACTTTAAGAAACTATTTCCCTTACCCCAAAAGTGAAAAACCAAAAATTCTGCCTTCTTCCAGACAGCAGGACAAAGAACACCACAATACACCAAATCTTGCAAAGAAAGCAAGATTGAGAAATACTGACATGTTAATATTTCCAGTAATTCCAGGAACAACAATATGGAAAATCATTGCAAAGTAGAAATGTTGGACTCTTTCCCAGACATTAATGGAGAGACAGAAAAGGCAAGAATGTATGAAGACCTGATGGTTGTTAAAATAAGGAATCCAGGATATATAAAGGGAGGAACATTAAGAAAGAAACAAAAAATGCATAAGCCCTGGATACCAAAGTGCATTAATAAACTAAACTACGAATTGCATTAACATATTTAAAGAATATTTAAGGGGAGCTAACTTCTTTGTTTCTTACAATGAGCATAGAAATCCGACTTTAATTTCACAATAAATCTTTGAGCTGAGAAACCAGATAATCCATTTGGAATCAGTTATAATGCCATTCAATAGGATGTAACTGGAAATGCACAGGAGACACTGTAAAAATTAAAGCAAAGACTGAGAAACTGTGAAGTCATCAATCCCTTATATACACTCTGGTGTGTATTCTTCAATCAACCAGCATCTATAATATGTGGTCTCAACAGTTTATTGAATGTTAAAAATCTTGAAAAAAGAATTTGTGCAGTCAAAAGTATCTCAAAATAGTAACTGTCTTTATAGAAGAAAAAAAGAATTTCGGATATATTTAACAAAAAACTTGCAAAGAACCACAGGAAAGGGAAAAGCGAGGTGTTTGACATAGAATATTGTAATAATCTCTGCAGATGATATACTGATGGACCCTTTCAAAAAATATTAACAGTAACCACAATATTCAGACAACTGTAAAACTTGTTGTCCCCACTCTATCCTTCCCCCGACCACTATAGTAAAACTCTACTATTAAAAGCCCTTGCCATTCCACAGATTCAATTATATGGTTGTCCAAATTATATAAATACATATAGTGCTTTTTTTCCAATAGATCTGATAAATTTGTAATGCAGGAACCAACCTCATCTCCAGACACCAGATCTACAAATTATTTACAAAGACCATGATTAAAACGTAAGGAAGAGCTGAATCCAGTGATAATAGTTGCTGAGGCAATAATCCTTAGTATTGTATTACAGTTTTAAGGTAGCTCTGAAGGAAATGGGCAATGTTCAAATAAAGTACACGAGAGTAAAGGGGAATAGATGAAGGAGAGAAATGAAAGCAGCAGGTGGAGAAATTTAGTTTAGGAAAAAAAAATCCCCCACATTTTATCATTAACTTCCACATCCATATCCTGAATAGAAAGATAAGAACAGCTACTTGGAAATGAAGTTTGGAAGATCACTAAACAAATCTCAACAAGGAAAATTACATTTTGACTTTATTTTTTTTACAAGCATATTAAAAATAAAGGTGTCCAAAGTTTTAATAGCTTAAAACAGCACTGAGACTTTGGGGACACCCTGAACTATGAAGAGGATACCACAATCATCCATTCCAATCTAACAGAGACAATCCTGAATTAACAGACAGGAAATTTCAATTCATCACCATCCACTAAGACAAAAATCACATATGATGGTGTAACCCTCCAATCACTACATTTTTTGTCCCTAATTCTCTTCATTTCATCTCTAAAAAAATACATGAACATTTAATTTATCTATTCCAGGATCAAATCTTTAGGTGTTTGTTAGAAGTCTACACATACCAAGGGAGCACTGAGGGAATTAACCACCTCTGTGAGGAAAGGTAATTATGACAATGATGGGGACAAATCAGTAGCAACAGAGAGAATAATCCCTTTCTTACTGCTGGTCTAATCTATCTGAAATGCAAGCTCTCCATTCAACTCTTGTTAAGTAAAGAAAATAAAAAGGAGAAAAAGCTAAAAGAATAGTTTATACCTGTGGAAGGAGAGGGAGAGGGAGGAGAAGAGGTTATGTCCTAAACTCACATCAAAATAAACTTTAAAAAATCAATTTTCAAGTTCCATTTTATTGTAAGCACTATTTAATTTCAAATACATTTTCTCTTCTTAAGCCTCCAATACTCCCCACCTTACTTCTTTATTAAGGCAACTAAAGTTAATCATCATGAACTCCCACATCAAAACCCTGATCTTCATGTCAAAACCCCTTGACATCTCCCACTTTCTCCTCCTTTTCCCTAGTTTCTAATAAGATAACCTCCTTGTCAAGGCCTACACCCTTCTATTCCCCACATACACACACTTTTCTCACAGACTGTCAACACTATTATTCTTGCCTCCAATGTTCAAATTCTCCCTCCAAATTGGTGGCTTCTTTATTGCCTTCTTGATCCCCTACTGATCTCATCCTTAAAAAATCTTTCGCTAGACCTGACTGTCCCCTTAAGTTTTCATCATAGTTCTCTTCCCTTTCTCAATCAAACTTCTAGAAAACACTGTCTGCACTCATTGCTTCCACCTTCATCTCCTCTCACTCACTCCTCACCCCTGGGCAATGTAGCTTCCAAGTTCATCATTCAACTGAAACTGCTTTCTTGAAAGTTACCACCATCTTTTAATTGCCGAATATCAAGATGTTTTCCAGTACTCATCCTTAACCTCTCTGAATTTGATACTATTGACCATCCTCTCCCTTCTTGGGGTATAAGACACTGCTCTCTCCTGGTTTTCCTATCTGCTTGCCAGTACTTCTCAGTATCCTTTACAAGCTCATCATTCATATCAGATTCCCAAACTGTGAGTGTTTCACAAGGCTGCATCCTGGCCCTATTCTCTCTTCCCTTTATACTATCTCAGTGACCTCATCAGCTTTCATGGTTTTAATTCTCATATCTACGTAGATGGATACTCCAATGTGATCAAAGAAAAAGGAAGAGGACTCCTATGTACAAAAATATTTAGAGCAGCTCTTTTTGTGGTGTCACAGAATTGGAAACTATGGGGATATACATCAATTGGGGAATGGCTGAATAGGTTATGGTATATGAATGTGATGGAAAATTATTGTGCTCTAAGAAATGAAGGGGATGGTTTCAGAAAAACCTAGAAAGGATTATATGAGCTGATGCAAAGTGAAGTAAGCAGAATTAAAAGAACAATCTACAAAGTAAGGCGATATTGCAACAATGAAGGACTTAGCTACTCTAATCAATACAAAGATCCCTGACAATTCCAAAGGACTTATGATGAAAAAATGCTGTTCACCTCCAGAGACAGAAATGATGAACTTTGAGTGCAAGGTGAAGCATATTTTTCCTTTCTTTATTTTTCCTGCTTTCACACACACACACACACACACACACACACACACACACACACAAATGAAGCTAGTACAGAAGTATGTTCTGCATGACTGTGTATATATAACAAGTACTGAATTTGTGGCAAACTGGAACTAAAAATATATAGTTTTTAAAAATCTATGCAGATAATCCACAGATGTGTGTGCGTGTATGTGCACCTGCAAGTGTGTGTATGCACCTCTAGTCTCTCCCCTGAGCATCAGTCCCACATCACTACATCCCAAACTGCCAAATGGATTTTAAAATAGACATCCCAGAAACATTTGAAATTCTTCATATCTGAAATAGAAGAACTCACTATCTTTCCTCAAAAGTCTCTCTTCTAAATTTCTCTATTTCGGTCAAAGGAAGCACATCCAGTTCCCTAAACTCCTAACCTTGGTATCTAATCCTCAATTCTCCCACACTCTACATATTCAATCAATGACAAATCAGGCTGCTTCCACCTCTGCAACTCCTCATTACTCACACAGTCACCAATGACATCCAGGCCCTCACCATCTCTCATACAGACTACCACAAAAAGCTCCAAAACTGATCTCAAATGTCTTCCCACTCCAATCCAATACATCTACCACACAGCTGCCAAAGGGACAATCTTTAAGCATATCTGACCATAGCATTCCCCTATTCAACAAACTCAAGGACTCCCTATTGGCTCTAGGACAAACTCCTGTATTTAGCTTTCAAAGCCCTTCCCAATATGACCCAACCTCCTTTTCAGCCTCAATATTACCACCCCTCCTGCACTTTGGAATCCAGTTCAATGGCCCTTCTTTCTGTTCTCACTGGGCTCCATTTTTTCTGTTTCCATCCATGCCTTTATTCTGGCTGTCCCCCATACCCAGAGTGCCTGTCTGCCTCACAGATAATCTCTCTTGCATGGCTCAAACACATGCCCCCACTCCACCCCCACCCCCCCAGCTGCTAGTGGCTTCCCTACAAATGCCTTACATTCATCTGTATTTATTCTCTTACATTTATGCTGTATATATTTACACATGACTTGTTACTATCATAAATTGTAAATTCCTTGAGTACAGGCTATCATATTCTTTGTAGTTGTATCCGTAGAACCTAGAACAATGCCTAGAATACAAAAAGTGCTTAATAATTTCTCATCGACTGA